CAAGGGGCAGCGCGGGCCTGGCCATCCCAGGCCTGCGGGCACCCCCGGCAGCAGCGAGGAGCGGGCCCCTCGCAGCTCCCCGACATCTGCCTCTGGCCCGCCAGCCTCGGCGTGGGTCACGGTTGGGGAGTTTTGGCACTCCGGCCAAAAACACTGCCGACCCCTGCCCTATAGACTTGATGCAGAGACATTATTGGGGGGAGGGAGGGAGCTTGCTTTTGTTATGCAGAAAGTCAGACCTGGGGGATGGTTATTTCTCTCCTTAATAACTAGACAAGGCTCTGGACCACATCCCTAGCTGTTCAAGTCAGCAGGCGCAGCTTTGGACCCCCGTTTGCACAGCAGCATCTGATTTACTGTGTTGACTTGCTATAATCTTTGCTGCCTGGCAATGTACGGGCCCTGCCACCTGAAATGAAAGCTGGCTCGAAACTGGCTTTCAAGTTGTTCCACTTTTTCAAGCACTAACTTTATAGTTGGTTGGTTCTTTTTGTGTAGCTGGATGGACATTTTTGTCATGCAGTAATTACTTTGCATGGGCGACTGGTCTAAATTTGTTGTGCAATTCACCAGTTAATTGCCTGATAATTACTTTGTATGTGGTGTCGGCCTACTTTTATTGTGCAGTTCACTGATGAATTGTTTAACATAGATAACGTGACAAGGGCTGTATGTTTGATAACTGAATTCCTCAGCCCTTGGTTTGTTGTGGGTTTACTCCTAAGTGCTGGGCTCCTGCCATAAATACTGAAGGGTCCTTGAACCATTTTAATTCTGTCATGTACTGAGTTCTCTCTCTGTCTCTCGTCAAAGTGGAAAGTAATTGAGGATAACTATAAGGACCTTGTTCCACCTTATGCTAAAAGCCACGCAAATGTTAATCTGGTTAGTGTTGTTCTGCTTAGTGGAGCAGCCGCATGTTAACATGAAAAACCATCTCTGACTATCCTTCACCTGCACAACTGTGACTTGTCACTAGGCTTGGTGAGCAGGGGCAGGACCAGGATCTGGGGGCAGAGAGCACAGCATCCCTTTAGCACCTGGCTGCTGCAGTGTCTCCCGTTGCTGCACGCACCAGCTCTGCTCCCACTGGTCAGAGCAAGTCCCTTTGAGCAGCGGTGGGAGGCACTGTCTACGCCCCGCCCTGCCCAATGCTGCTTAGACTGGCTTGCTCTACCTGGCAGGAACAGTGAGCCAATTCAAGCAATGGCTGGCTGCTGCTGTTGCTTGGACTGGCTTGCTCTGCCTGGCAGGAGCAGAGCTGGTTTGCATGGATGCAGGAGCACCGTAGCCATCAGGTGCTCTGGGGCTGCTATGCTTGCTTTGCCCAATGTGCCTGGGATGCAAGGTGCTGTGCCCGCCCCGCTGTGCCCCAGTGTCCCTGCTTGCCCTGACTCAGGACGGGCAACTGAGATGCTGGAGGACTTCAGTTTGGGTAGAACAGCTGTGGAGAGTGGCCACACCTTAATGGAATGGGAGCAAAATTAGGCAGATTAAAGATAAATTTTCCCTGGAGTGGTGTAATTGTTAAACTGAATAATGCGTGCTTTAAACCACTTACAAGATGTTAATATGCAGCCAATCCAGGTGTTAAGGGCTCCAGAAGCTGCCTAAAATTACTAGGTAACAAGTCCCTAATACTTACAGAATTGGGCTCCTTTATTTCTCCTGTATAGAGGGAAAATGAAGAGAAAAGAAATTATTTTGTAGTCTTTTCTAACAGATACAGGATAAAAAGAAAGATAAATGCTACACGAAATACACATACAACATACACGTGAGGCAGGTATGGCCAAATGTGTTCAGTTGACAGGGCAGTACCTTGTGATAATTAAATTATAGACAAAGTCTGGTTTATCAATAATCATACTAACCTTTTTTTTTTTATACAGGGTTACATTTTATATTTCCTGCTTGTAAAAAAGCTTTGGAGGAACATTCAGAGTAATAAATGACAATTACATACCCAATTCCTACTGATTAAGTCCCATCTGAAAATCTCTCCCATGGCCATTTACCACATAGAGTGTTTTCCTTTATATACTGATTATTTGTCTGATATTTAGTGAAAACAGACTGACTGCTATATGCTGTACAAGAGACCACCTGCACTGAAGGTCAAATAATTGATTTATGGAAATGCTTTTTTACATAATATGTTTAAGCAAAATACCTTGTTTAGTTCAGATCTAACATGATTTGCTCTGTGAAGGTTTTGCTGTCACCAACCATGCTGTCAGCCCCCTGCAAATCCTTTGTAACCTTTCTCTTATTACATAAAATAAAAAACAATTTAGAGTCTGAGACAACCTAACCCTGAAGAAGTAATGTATTGATGAAGTTCAAGTACTCCGCTGATTTCAAATTGGCAGGAGTCTACTTCAAACTTTGCACTCTAGAAAAATGCACTCTGATTTTACACTACCCATTTAAAAACCCAAATTATATCAGTAGATGTTTTAAAGTGGCAATTTGTGTTTATGCTCAGAAAGGAAGTGACATTTACTTTTTTACTCCAGCATTTTGAAATCTTGGCACTTAGGCTACATAGGGCTCACAGATACAGAATAAATAGAAAGGCAGAGACTGCACATCCCCAATGTATGGTGCAACTGAGGTCCATCTCAGCTTCGCATAACAGAAGGACAGCTTGGGGTGGGCAGCAGGAGGCCACTGAATCCAAACTAATCACTCAAACTCTATGCAAAGTACCCTACTCCAGGTATATCAGAAACTCAGCCACTATCCTAAGGTGTAACCAAGGTAGCTGCCATCAAGAGACTACAGAGGTGCCAGAGCCCCAGAAATTACATGATTGCCATAACTCTGTGTAGGTTACAAGGATTAGAGAATGCTCACTGAGATGTAATTCAGAAGGGGAAATATGAAATTAATAATATTGAATTGTTTATATAGTTGGTTGTACATTTTTTTTCTAATTGTTCTTGTGTTTATTGGAAGGAGTGCTCATAATGGAATGCCAATTTTAAATGTTACATCTACAAAGGTTAGAGAAATCAAAATCTCAGTCTCAATCTGTCATTCTGTCATTTTGAAAAACTTGACCTGAGGATCTAACACACTGATTTTGCAAATAGCACTGTATGCACAATCCCATTGTAAAGGACCCACTTTCACAAAGTTTCTGGCAGGAGTGAGGTGCAACCTTCAAAATGTAGATCATAGTGTTTATCTTTCACAATGTTTGAAGAAATCAGTACTTATTTCCAATCATTGTTTCCAGTTTCATGTAATGAGAGACCCCAAAATGATAGAAGTAAGAAAAATAATTAGAAATTTAAAATTATTTTTGAAGAAGTGCACATGTATCATTTTCTCTCTCTTTTACTAGGTGGTTGGTATTGGCTATTGCCATGGCACGGTTTTATATGCAGAAAGGAACACACAAAGGCTTATATAGAAGCATTCAAAAGACACTTAAATTTTTCCAGACATTTGCTTTACTTGAGGTAAATTTTTAAATGCTACTGTTTGCTTGACTTGATTTTACTGTAGGAAAAAATATCATTAACCTGCATTTAAACTTGAAAAGTTGGATCAGAATTTCCAGTTTTTCTAACCTTATTTTAAGGATTTTTTTGGCAAAAGTGAATTGATACATATTTTCTACTTTATAGGTTAGTAAAATATTTGCCTAGGATACTATTTCTTATGTTTGTTTAAAAAATGCACAAAACTTTCTTGTTTTTCATGTGATAATATTTTATATTTCTAATAATTCTACTTAAACCCCCTCAAACCTAGTGGAATGCGTAAGAACATAAGAAGTGCAATACTGGGTCAGCCCATAAAGTCCCAGGACCACCTGGTCAACCTCCTCTTGACCCTAACCAAGCTAGCGGTCTATTTCACGAGGAAGGAGACTCTGGTCAGGAGGATACCCAACGACTGCAGGGACACTTTTCTGTCCCTTGGCTGTTCACATCTTCAGACAGGGTTTTACTGGGCAGTGTCCACTGGCTCCTTGGACTCATTTGAGGGCCAGTGGGTACTCTCTGGTATATATTTTCTTATTCTAAAGTCATTCTATTTCCAAGAGACAGAAAAATTGTAAGTGAATCTGTTTTATATATATGGCTAATGGAAACATCTTTTAAAATTAATAAAGAGATTTATGTATCCAAAATGGTTTGGCCCAAATTCCACTTCATCGTTAAATGGTAAGTGGCATTTACATGGCTAACTTAGCTGCATAGGTGGCATTTTAGACTACTAATGGATTTTTGATCCTCTTCCAGCCTGAAAAGGCATTTGACTTTCTACAAGTCCTAAAGAGAGGAGGAGGAGGAGGCTCCTACCTTTCAATCTGCTGGGTAGGGCACTTGCCTTGGCATTGCTCAGACATGGCATAGGTCACTCTCTAGCCCTTCTCTTCAATTTGGCCCATTGGGCAGCTATGAGTGGAAGATACACGAAGCTAGAAACACAGCAACACAAAGGGAGTGTGGCTCAGTGAAATGACAGTGGGCCTGGAAGAGTAGGGCCCTGGATTCTGGTGGCTGCTCTTGCCCTAGACAGTGTTTTGGCATTTTGCACTTAATGGTCATTGGATAAAACGGATAAATCGCAATGGGCTAGTTTTTGCTCTGCTGTGGTGTGTAACAATGGGAGCCACTGGATTTGGATCTCTCATAAATTCTGACCAGGATATGATATTGTATGTGGAACTGAGGAGTAATTCTGCTGAAATTGGAGAATAAACTGTAAGTCTATGAAAAGCAGCCTTATTATATGAAAGTGCGTTTATTATATGAAAGTACAACAAATAAGTTGCTCCTGATTTAGTTTTAACACAAATCAAAGGCTTGATTGTATGAGAAGCGAATACAATAATTCAGGACACTTAGCTCTTTTTAGGAATGGGCCCCAAGGTATTAACTTTAACCAAGCTTAGATTTATGTTAACAGCAGTGATGCCTGTATTTGCAAATAGTAAACTAGTCTTGGATCAGGAATTTTTAATGTGTACTTATTTTTATTTGCAGGTAGTCCACTGTGCAGTTGGTGAGTCTTTTGTTTTAATATCTTACATGACTGATGGAAACGATGAATTATGAGACAGAGATGACATATTTCTCTTTTTAAGGAATAGTTCGCACCTCTGTGCTTGTGACTGGGGTCCAAGTGAGTTCAAGAATCTTCATGGTGTGGTTTATTACACATAGCATAAAACAGGTATGTTTATCAGTGCAGGGTTTTTTTCTCTTTACAGGAAAGGCCTCTATATAAATATAGTGCTTGTTTTAGTAGGAGGAATTATTTCACAAGTAATAAGGTCTGGTAAGTTCTTCTAGCAGGCAGCTGTCATGCATTTCTGAATTTTTAGAATGGAGCCTATAGTTTGTATGTAATTTGCCTTATATGCAGGGAACTGGGGCTTGAAAATAGTTGTGCAACTCCAGAGGCATTTGAGTTGGATTGGATTGGTGCCAGATTTGGTCTGTCTGTCAAGCACGATCAAAGACTAGAGCTCTTCTGTTCATCACCAAATGTACCATTCTGTCATCGATTCCACTTTGAAGAGGAAATTAAAATTAGCATATGTTGAACAGACTGAGTGGAAATGATTTTGAAACTGAATGTATCTACAGTTTATATAAAAGCCTTCTCAAGACCATTAAATTAATACAATATTAAAATTATATATTGTGCACAGTATGCTACTGAGACTTAAAAAAAACCAGAAAAAATATGATGATTCCACTAGACCCTCCAGGTTATATTTATTTGTTTGACTTTAGGTGACAGCATAGGTCCTATTGGTTTGTTAGCAACAGGAGAAATGAGTTGAGGATTTACAAACAGTATATTAGAACTTACAGTCTAGTTTCTCTGAGTTGTGTTTTTTTTGCAGGGCATGAAATTCCTATGTACTAAATGTAAGTATTGAGTAACACATCCCCAAACGTGGGTCTGTGCTCCTGTGTGTGACTTGAGTCAGAACTTTCCTAGCTCAAAGTACTGAGCCATTAAACTGTCTCACCAGCAGGTGGCACATGCCTGTCTGCTGAAGAGGTGTAATAGCCAGTAACTGCCTCAATTTCCTAAGTGTTTTACTTCTAGAACAAAAAAGAAAACCAAATTTCCTAATCCCCAACAGTTAGTAGTTCATGGTTACACTGAGTACATCCAAGTAGGGCACATCTCTGTTTCTTGTCATTCATTCTGCTTTTATTTGAAATTTATTAAACTTTAAGAGTATCCATTCAGTTCTCTGTTTCTCTCATTTCCAGTAAGTCAAGCTGTGTCCAAGGAAATCATATCTTAATGTTTGTCCGAGTGCATTTCCCACTGTTATTTCTTAGCATGCTTTAATGTTCAGGGTCATGTTGAGGTGACTAGAGACATGTCAGTGATGATAGCCAGCTTTAGGCTTTAGTACTTGACTGGCAGATTTGTAAGGCAACCACATGGAATTCTCTACATACTTAATTCAAAACATTTTCACTTCAATTTAGTTTTGTAACATGAATCCAGATATGGACTATCAGAGCAGGCCTATCTATCTGCTTCAGGTTGAAAGCAATTTAATTCTTTTCTTCTCCTCCATTCTGTATATATTCAATGTTTTTGTACTTTGGTTTGGGTTTTTTGGGTTTTTTTGCTTTTGTGGCTGTTGTGAGATGTAACAGTGTCATCTCATTTACAAAAAAAAAATCTTTTTTCAGTCTTACACATCTAGGGTCTGATTTTCTGCGATGATGAACATTTGCATCGCTTCTTTACTTCAGACAGAGTTACAAGCAGAGCTGTCCCTTGTGGGGAGCAAGGGGGCAAATCGGGGTGACCACCCCAGGCCCCACACTTTGTGGGGCCCTGTGGACAGTGCCATACAGGCCCTGAGGGTGCCACCCCTCTGCCCGGCCGCTTGCCACCCCCCCTTGCTCCGTGCTCCAGCCGCTTGTCACTCCTGCTTCTCCCCACTTCCCCTGCACACGCTGATATGCCCCGGGCCCTGCACACCCCTAGAGTCAGCTCTGGTTATGAGTGTTCAACATCTTTGAAAAGCTATAAACCTTTGTCACCTTCTTGCAATTTGTTGTAAACAATGTTTCCCTTTTCTGTGTTTTTAACAACATTTGTGTTACTTTATTTTATTTCACAGACATCCCTGGAGCTTTTCAGCCTTCAGGCATGGAAGTCTATTACAAAATTCCTTCCCTTTTAAAGAAAGGAAAATTACTTGCGTGTAATTCTTCTTCTCAGAAGGTAGTATTTATAATAGATCCCCAACCACCTTCTTTAGAGAGTTGGGGACTTTTTTGTTTGTTTCAATTAAAATGAAAAGGCTCTAATGTTCTAGAGCAGCAGGTAGATACACTACCTACTGATGAGGCAGTTTAATGACTCAGAAATTTAATCTTTATAACACTGCAAATCAGTAGATACAGCCACAGCTCCTGTTCTTCCCACTACTTCTCAGCCTTTGATCCAACTTCTAGTTGCCTTATCGTTTTGTCACTACCTGAAAGCAACAAGGAGATCACCCTGATCTCCTCCTTCAAGGTTTCACTTTGTTACCTAGGAATTCCATGAAACAAAATGGAATTGTCTAGTATATGAGAAAGATTTGCATGAGAGAGGGAAGAGAAAGCCACAACAGACTATGGCCTAGGTAAAAATAAGAGGCAAGGCAAGAAGCCAGTGGGTACTGAGATGTAAAGCCAGACTAGTCCAATTTTAAAAATGGAAAGAAAACATTGTATATCATTTTTTGAGAATAAATGCAAACAAATGGACCAATAATAATAATAAAAAGGAGAGGGAGAAAAAATTAAAGGTGCAGATGTAGGATAAGGAAAAGAAAGCGTGCACTAGATAAATGGAAATATTTTGATATATTTGAAATTGTTGAAGTCACCCTTTACATATCAGCTAGTTTCCAGGATGGTGGTGAATATAATTGAAAATTTAATTTGGTGATGATTTTAAAATAATTTTTACACTAGTTTTCTTCTTTTCAAAATGTAAATTGTATTCCAAATGTCTTAAGCAAAAGTCTATTGCAAATTGCACAGAAAAAGAAATCTAAAGGTGAAGAAACTGTTGGTTCTTTATACTTCTGCAGATCCAGAATGAGGAGAGCGTTATTCTTTTTCTGGTCGTTTGGACTGTGACAGAGATTACTCGATATTCCTTCTACACATTCAGCCTGCTCAACCATTTGCCATACTTCATTAAATGGGCCAGGTGGAGATGTCTTGCAGTTTAGTTCCTCATAGTTCTGTGCATGTTAATTTAATGCATGCTGAGCTAACACACAGGAGAACAGATTTGTGAGCTTTGGCTATGTCTGTAGAGTGTCGTTGGTTGCTTTATGTATTTAGGAATATTGTGATTTGGTTTAAAATATAAAAGAGTTTTTTCTTCGGATGTTTGAATGTGATTTGTGCTTCGACTTTTATGTTTTATGGTTCAGTAACTATTTCCATTTACTCTGACCTCTTTTCCTGTGCATTTGGGATCATCTTTTATTTTAATTAAGTTTAAGTTGCATTTTGAATACAAGAGTAAATGATCTTTAAAAATCATAGAAAGAAAATGTCTGTTTAGTAAGGAAGAAAAAGTCTATTTAGTAAGGAAGAAAATCCTGTTGTTGCCTTTAGTGGCCCAAGTCATGGAGATTTATCCATGTGTACTGTGAGTGTTGGCTACAATGCGAGTACTTGCTGTACATAAAATTAAGCATGTGCATGAGACTTTGCAGGACTGGGACCTATTGAATTGCAGTATGTTATGGGCTCTCAGCACTATGATATTACCCTTACTCTTTAATCAAATTACAGTTTTATTGGAGATTTGCAGAAGCCTTAATTGACATTTTGATTAGTTTAGTCAAAATAAGAACGCGTTCTTTACAGAACAGGCATAGCGTGAGATAATAAAACTCGAGATGCGTTGCTATATCCAAAATAGATTACTTAGGTTGGGCATTCATCATGAAACTTAATTAGATTAATTCCATCTTCGATAGTTATTATTTGAAAGATACAGTCAAAACAGGCTCATATTGTGAAGGCAGATTATTTTGCATTCATTTGTTTAAAAGGGTGTTTTGTTTATTTTGCTTTATTTTTGTTTTGTAGACAACACAGTTCTGATGCTTCTAATGCACTTCTTTGATGTGGCTGATATTTATGTCCATTATAATACATTGTCTTTCTGCTCATACCGTATGTGGTAGGTTTTGGCATGTTTAAGCACTAAATGGTGAACTTAAAAAATAATCAGTTAAAGATCTCCTATCATTAACTGAATATTTATTAATGCTAAAATATAGAAACGTGAAAAACATCAAACTATCAGAAACTCTTAGTAGTGCCAACCTAAGACATCTTAAATGGGAGGAAAAAAACCTCTACAGGTTATAAGGCAGTAGGAAAATGAGTTATTCTGACCACAGCACTTTATCTATGAGTGAAATACACTGCACTATAAGGTATTTGAAAATTTGCTGTTTTGCACTTATTTCTCCAAGACCTGACATTGGGATTTGTGAGCACAAATGCTCTGCCTTATGTGGAGCTGAACCTTAGTTTGCCATTGGTGAACGTGTTCCTTTTTTTCCTTTTCAATCCATATACATATCTATTAACATACATACACACACCATAATAAAGTGTCATTAATGCTTTGGGATCACTAACTTTCTTTTTTATTACAAACACTTTGCCTGTCCATGTTAAATCTACATAAGCTTTAGTTCAAAACTCCTTATGTGTAGTTTGTTTCTATTCTGCATACAGACAAGCTCTGTGTTGGTTTCTAACTTAATCTGTTCCAGCTGACCTATGAGCTCCTCAAGTCCAGAGGTTCCTAAGAGGGTTTCAGGTTCAGTTGCTGCCATTTTATAACTCCTCTGTTTTGGTCATGGAATGCACATTCTCCATGTCTTTCAGACCTTGTGAAGCATGTTGCATTGCTTTCTGCAGGGTTAACTTAAGAAACCAGTTCTTTATGAATGATTGCACCTTGCATGATAACTCTTCAAAATACTGTAGATTCAGGTTTTTTTTCTAATCTGTATGTGGTAAATGTTATTTAATGCAGTTACTAACTTTAACAGGATGCCTTTATTTTATTATTTATTTAGAAATTGATTTGCTTGTTCCCAAATGGAATGTTTGCACTCAGATATTTTTTCATTGATGTTAACGGTAGATACAGTACTTGTTTACATTCCCCATATGGCAAAGGAAGGAACAAGCCACTGAGGTTTTTAAAGATTTCCTTAACTTCAATGTGTTTATAACAGGGATAGGACATGCATGGGTTGTGGCAAAGATATGTATTCATACTTACTGTTAATCCAAGCCTGCTCTCAGACTAGACAACAGCAAAAAGAGCAGGCTCCAAAAATCAATCAAAAGATTATTAGACCTTACAAATCTGTTCTATAATTTTGAATGTTTAACCTTAACATTAGAATAACTTCAGGACATTTGACAGTTCTCTAGTCTAAAGGTGAGGGCTATACTGTTGTAGCGCTGCTCAGGTCAAGTAAACCTCTGCTGATTTGTACCAGCTGAATATCTGCCTGGCACATGTTTTTTTGGTACAGGAAACTACTGTTGTTCAGTGCTGTGCCACTAATACTCACAAGAAGAAATTTTAATCTTCCAGTACTTCTTGCAAGAATTTTTTTTTTTTTTCTGTAGATACAATTTTTTTATCATCTTGTATCCTGTTGGAGTTGCTGGTGAACTGCTAACTATTTATGCTGCCTTACCATATGTGAAGAAAACAGGCATGTTTTCACTGAGACTTCCCAACAAGTATAATGTCTCTTTTGACTACTACTACTTCCTTATTATTATCATGCTCTCCTATATACCATGTAAGTATTATCCAATAATATTGCTAACTCAGTAGTGAATTTTAGGCAGAGACGGGATAAAATTTTCTGTACCAGTGTCTTCCTCAGGCTGAACAGATTTGGAAACTTTTAATGAAAATAGCGTAATTTTTTCCCAACAAAGTTAAGGAAAAACATATTTTTGCCCACATAAAAAAAACAATCCTATCACCTGGGGGTACGCACAGACAGGCAAGGATGGAGTGCTGCTGCCTCCCAGGAGCAGGGCCAGGGCGGGGTAAGGGCAGTGACGCCCCTCTGCAGCATGGGAAGCTTGCATGCAGTGTCTGCCACCTCCACACACCAGCCCAGTGAGCTTCCCTGCCCCGTCCCAGCCCTGCTTCTGGGAGGTGGTGGTGCTCCGTTCCTCCCTGCCTGTCTTGGTGGCTGGCTGCCAGGAAAACTAAAAAAGGTTGAAAACCTCTGTTTTAGAGCAAAGACTTGAAATTTGACCTTAGTTTGTAGCAGGCAAATTGGTTAAAATCAAAATTAAAAGCAGAATAACTAAATACTTAGAGGATCATGATGTAATAGGATTGTACTAAGGAATTCGGCAAAGGCAAATAAGCTCACTAATCCTGGGCTCCTTTGAATGCGTTGGGAAAATTTGTTGTTAAAGGAGAACTGACACAATGTATGCAGGTTTCCAAAAGGCCTTTACCTCTCACCCTGTGAGTGCGTAACTTCTGTAGTAGCTTCTTGTGTAGGAATTTGGCAGATTCTCACAGGAAGAGAGGTTGAAAAGACTGAGATTATTTACTTTAGAAATGGAATGAATAAGAAGGCACAAGATAAACACACATAAAAATGACTGTTATAGAAGAGATAAATAGGGAGCTTCTGCTCTCCCTGTTTCATAATATAAGAACAAGGGGGCATTCAAAGAATTAAATGATAGCAAGCTCAAAATTGATAAAGGAAAATACTCCTTTCCACAACATGCAATTAAACTGTGGGGCTGACTTCTACAGGAAGTTATTGAGGCCAAGAAATTAACAAGATTCAAAAATAGATTGCATAATTAGATATTTGTAGAGAATAATTAGAGGTATTGTAATAGATTATAACAACAAATCTGGAAAGGATTAAGCCTCATCCTTTAGAGTTCAAGACAGTCTTTAACTATTAAAGGTGAGGATCAGACTGTAGGCAGGGCACAAATTATCTCACATCTGACCACTGAAGGGCTCTTGAACCTTCTTCTGAATGTATTTGTACCAGCTACTATCAGAGAGAGAACTTGGGTCTGATCCAGGATGCTGATTGCTATGTTCCTACGTGCTGCAGTTTTTCTTAGTGACTAGTCTGCAGAGGATAAGAGGCTTTTACTGCTATCAGTTGCACCATTAGCTCAAGTGACAGAAGTCTGGGCCTTGCCTCATGCTGACTCCTCATGTAGGGGTTAGTGTGATCCCAGGATGGGATTTCAGGCGGTGGGGGGGAGGTCTGTTTACTTAAAAATGAAAAAACTGCAAAAATAAGTTACATTAATAACATTATAGTCACAAAATTGGTCCCTTTGGTATATAATTTGTATAATGCAGGGGGTTGTTTTTTTCAAAAGACCCTTGATGATAGGCTCATTAATCACTGATGGTTTTTTTTAAATTTCCCCCATAGTCCTTAACTGCATGCTATTTTTTCCCTCATGGCTTTGGGTGGACTGTCCTCCTGAATGAATCAGGGTTGTGTAGTAAAGGAATATGTTGTCTTTCAGGGCAAGCCTACAAAGATTTTTCCTGATCCCAGTTCTGCTGCAGATAAAATAAGCCCCTACCCAGTTGTTCCAAGCCTCTTATGTCTGCAGCAGACCCAGGGTCATGAAAAAGGCCATATAAACATGTCCTGAAACTTACTTCAGTCTATTTCAGAAGTTGGAAAGTGGGTAGTAACTGAAACAGGGCACTTCAAGAAGAGGAAAGATTGTCTTGAGCTTAAAGTAGTTGGATGGTATCCTAGAGAATGGGATTTGTTTCCTGCCTTTGCCATAGAGTTCATATATGATGCTGGGCAGGTCACTAAACCTGGCTTTTTTGTAGGTGTCATCTCATTTTCTGGGTGCTACCTGAGAAACCAACAGCCTGATATACAAAAATGAGGAACACTCATAACTGCAACTAAAGTGAAGAGTTGTCCATTGAACATGAACATGAAAAAAACAGCCATGAAGGGTAGATCTACCTGGTCACACAACTACTCTAGGGAGCACTATAATGAGACATAGCATGCCTACTCCACGCATACTACACCCTAGAATTGATGTAGCGTGTGGCTGTGTGCATATGTCAGTAAGATCTCTGTTTCAGGATTCCTTATTGGTGTGCAGAAAGTATTACATTCAGGGCAGCTATGTTACATCCATTAAGGGTGTAGCATGCAGAGCTGGCAAACCAGGTGGTACCAGCATAGCCCTTTGATAGTAAAAGGAAAGACACTCTGAAAAATTCATAGGCACTTATGTCACTGTTGGCCTTAATCTTTCTATGCTGAATTTCTTGGTTCCCTTTAGTAAAACAGGAATAGTAACATAAAATCAGTTTGCCTGACATGGATGTTGTGAAGATAATTCATTAATGTTTGTGAAGTTCTCAGACTGCAGTGATAAATGCCACAGAGAACCTCAAAGGGCTGTCAAAATGGGAGAGTACCACAATCATTCCTGTAGGGCCAAAAGGGAGTAATTTTGCATTTTCGTCTCAGCACTGATTCATATAGGCTTTCCTTGGCCCAAATCCTGAAATACATGGAACTCTCCACAGGGCCATACAGACTGCTGAAAAAATAATTCAGCCCCATTTCCACAAAGGATAGGGAGGTCCACATAGAGACACATGTGCATCCTAACGTATCTGTAGTTGGTGATAATTTGCCATAAGCAACCTGCTATTATATGCTATACCTGGCTGTAGGGTTGTGTCCCATAAGCTTTTCTCAGGGTAATTTTCTACAGTTAGAAATATATTTCTTTGTCATGTGGTTTGTTATTTCCCCCCACCTTCCTAATTTGTTATCTTTTATTTTTTGATCAAGTGTTTCCACAACTGTACTTGCATATGTTGCGACAGAGAAGAAAGGTGCTTCATGGAGAAGTGATTATAGAAAAGGACGATTAAACCAACCTTTTTAACTACGGTGCTTTTTAAAGAATATCAAGGATTAAAAACAAAAAACTTCATGTGATCTTTTTGAGTCCACATTTTAAATCATGGAACAAGAATAAATAGCTGTTCACGAAATACCATGGATTGTATTATTTTGTAAAAATTAATATATCTTCAGACTGTGTTTCGTCCTTGGTTTCACCTTTTGGTTCTTTTCGTCTCTTCATGTCTTCAGACAAACTGTTTTCTTCCCTATTTTTTATATAAGGACATTAATAAATAGTCAGCAGATTGAATATTTGCTGAATTGCTTTCTATTAAGAAACTTTTTGTAGTTAGTTGGAATAAAAAAGGTTTGATGAGCTATATTGTTGAGTATTCTAGGAAATATTCATAAATCAGGTTATTTTTTTTCATAGGATAGGTGGCTTGCATAGGATAGGTGAAATTGTATCCTTCATTATTTTAAAAATGAAAATGACCTCATTTTTGCCAATATTCACAAATGATAATTTAGTGTATCATAAGTCTTATGAGAAAACACTGCTAAAAGTAGTCATTTTATACCAAAGATGAGATATAATTACTAAGCATCTAATTCTGCCACCCTTTCTCACATTATGTAGTACTTCTTTTTTTAACTGTCCTGTAATAATTGCCAAACTGCTATAGAGCATCAGTATGGATATTAGAATCAGACCTTTCAATAGGCCTGATCCTAAAGTTGGATTCTGCATGTGTGCAGTTGCCTATGTTACCAAATTCAGTTGTGGAGCCAGGGCTGTACAGTGCTACAGTCTTTTAATAGTAGGTTTTTATCTTTGAAGAATCATAGACTAATTTTAAAGCAGTCAACCATTTGGTGCCCATGCAAATGTAGGGCTGCATACTTTTAATATGGAGTTGTCAAAGATAATTAAAAATAGTAGATGGTATTTAATGGGCAAAAAGAAAAATGATATGGAGGAGTGATATAGATGTACCTACATTTTGCCCATTAAAGGGCCTGTTTTGGGGGTTTTATTTATATTTTTGTTTGTTCTGTTCTGCGAACTGAAACTGCTTATAAGTCTGTTCTGTATTCTAGGTTTAGAGTAAAAAAGGGAAAGTAAATGTGGACCTACATGCAAAAACTAGTGATGACAAAATCCTTTATTTATTTTGATTAATCAAATGGGATAAAAATAGAAGTTATTTTTTTTTAAAGTTGATGTGTAAATTATATTTTGAATCATCCCATTATGCAATTATAATTGCTCCTTCAATAAATTGTTTCATCCTCTTCATAATGTAATCAGCAAACAGTTTTGGATCTGGTCCTGTTTAACATCTTTAATAAGCTATAAAAAGGTTTGAACAACACATTAATGATGATCATGGATCATATGAAAGGGGATGAACACCATCATGGACATAAAGATAATACAAAGAAGCCTATAAATGTTTGAAATGTGGTCAAAAATTTAAAACAAGATTCAACTTGGAAGGTGTGTAGGGGGACGTGGGGGAAGCAAGTTGTTATAAATAAAGAAATTTAGATATTCAATAAGATGGAGAAATTTGGAAAGCAAAAATATTGGAAGAACACTAAGCAGACAGCAAATTAGATACTTATTCACAACATGATGTGGCACCAAAAAAAAGACAAGTTCAAGGTTAGGTGTATTTGCTGAAGTGTCACATCAAACAGGGAACTGAGTGACTGCTAAAATCCCACCTAGAATATTCTTCTAAATTCTGCATGTCTCACGAGCAAAGTGCAGAGGATTGTTGGGTGGAGCAGATACCAGCAACACAAATAAATTTAATGCTCAGGAATAAGAAATAGGAAGGATTGACTTAAAGGCTTTAAATATGCATGGCTTGGTTCTGTGAGAACTATTTGAGGAGGAGGAATTATTGTAATGAAAGAAGTAGGTGTAACTGAGAGTCATATAGAATAAGAAAAGAAACATACAGAGTGAGTACCAGGTCAGGTGTTGACCATCAGCTCAATCGGGCTATGAAGTAATACTACAAGCCAAGTCATGACAGCTCCATTTCACAGGACATTTAAAGATAGATTTGATTGGATACTAGAAGATGTTTAGGTTGCCTAGTTCAACCTGCAACCTCAAAGGTGGTCTCCATTTTTAATTTCTATGATGCTTTGATAACATACCTGTACTTTTAAAAAGACTGGAAACATCTTCCTTATACATCTAAGGTTTGAATGAAGAAATTTATTACATCCCCAGCACAAGTTTCCAATTTTATGCCTTAGGCTTGTCATAGTTATCTGTTACATGCAAACTACCTTCCTTTTAAATGACTGGTGTACAGTGGACGTGACATGAAATCCTAGTATTTTTTTGTTTCAAAGTGGTATATTCTTCACTTTTTTTAAGCAACATATTAATTCAAGGTGCTCTAAGTTAAGTTATTAAAGTACTTGTTTAATTCATATGCAGCTGAAATTGTTTAATGTATTAAATATACATCATACTTACAGTCTTGATTCACAAAATATTTACACATTCAATACCTGTTTGGGCTAAAGGTTTTATCTGTTAAGTGGCTTTTTTCATATTTTAAGCAATGGATGCAATTGTTCATATAAACTTCTCAGTTTGCATATTGTTCCATATGGAGCATCCAGGCAGCTTTTAACTACGTATTTCTTAATTAGTAAGTAAAAATATTTTATGGAATATGAAAGAATAAGATCAGGTTTTGTTTAATGATAGTTTAGTCTCTTCTCATTGTGGTGTCAGCTCACTGAAGCCTATGACTATCTATTTGTATGAAATGTACTGAATATTCCAAAGGCCTGATCCTGCAACACTTACTCATGTGAGCTTGTCCCAAGGAGACTATTCCTATGAGTACAAGTTGAAGGGCTGACCTCAACCACTGTATTATTTATGTTGTATTTGTATTGTGTTCAGTTTGAGGATATCATGCAAGGTACATAAAACTACTGTAGGCATTTTGATACTCTTTTGTACTGCAACACAAATTAATACAATGCCGTGTATTGCAATCGTGATTTCTGGTTTGCATAAAAACAACAATGTGCTTAGTCCTGAATAATAATAATACACAAACAAGAAAAGCCATAAAGTGATTTACAATAGCAGTAAAATCTTACTGAACTGCATTTCAATAAACTGTGAATTCTTGCTGAAAATGACTACTTGGGTCTGAATTTACTGATTCACAGAGCAGGGAGACTTTGGTGAAGACTAGTATGGATAATGGCATCCTCCCTACAAAAATATTTTGAATGTTTTATCTTATTTGATAATAATCTTCAAATATCTGAAGAACATTACAAAGAGGTTGGAGATGGGCTTTTCTCTGTGGCTGAAGGGGACAGGACTAGAAGTTGTTGTTACTTTAAATTGCCAATTGCTTAAATCAAGAGCGAGACCTTATAAAGGGGGATAAGGCAAAATGCCACGTTTATTGATTTCATGAAGCAGATACATAAGCCTGGACACATCAGTCATACAAACAGACATACACAAGCATACATACAAACATAGACAGACATACAGACAAAACCACTCCAGTAAGATGTTATAGTTACCAGCAGAAGTTACTGAATGTTAGCACTGGGTACCCAGTCCAGGCTCATTGAGGGTGATGGGAGCGGCGGTGAACAGACGCGCCTGTGCTCCAGGAGATTTCAGAGAATGGATTCCCCATCATGGCTTGTCTGCATCTTACAGGGATTTCAAGTCTTTGTTCAGCATTGGGGCTTTTCCATGCTCAGTTTTTAGTTAGAGGTTGTTTTTTATCCATCTGGTTATCTCAACTTGAGGTCATTCCAGTAAAGTTGGTATCTCAGAGTTGGTATTTCAGTCTTGAAGCATTGTGTAGTTCAAATGGCAGGATATGCAACATTCCTTCTCATCATCTTTGCACCTGATCACAGACGAGTTCTTCAGCCATCCATTAATTAGCTTAATTAGTTTATTATCTGGTAACTCATACATTGGTGCCTTGTTGCTTACACAGTAATTTAAATCTTCTATTTTCATGCAAATAGTTACCATTCTTTCACCATTCACCCTCTCACACAGACACTCATGTACACAGGGCATACACAGTTCATTTACTCATGTCAAGCAGGGAACAAGCATAAAACGAAGTTTTAGTTCTTCATAAAAGACAAAAATAAAGCTAATACAATTATAGGTTTATCAACTCAATACTATTATCATTTAAGCATAATAACTAATATGCAAAAAATCATACTACACAGTGGTCTCAAGCTTCAGCGGGAGAAGTATAGATTGGAGATTGGGAAGAATTGTTTGATTGTAAGTGTAGTCAAGCAGTGGAACAGGCTACCTAAGGAAGTTGTAGCATCTTCATTTCTGGCAATTTTCAAGAAGAGGTTAGACAGACACTTGGCTCAGGTGATTTAATCAGGGATGATCCTACCTTGAGCAGAGAGCTGGGCTTGATGAACTCATGAGGACCCTTCTAGCCCTACTTTCCTATGGTCCTGGGTTTTTTTGCTCTTGAAATCATTAGTTGAAATTGGAAAAAAAATCAGTCAGCTCTTTCTTAATATCTTCTGTTGTCAAGTAAGAACTTTGAGTGAAATCCTACTCATCCAAAGTCATTGGTAAAACTATTAATTTTAACTGAGCTAGGACTTTACTATATATATTTTAGTTAAAAATGAGCACAATTTCATATTTATAACATAATGAAATAGATAACTAATTTATTTCCTGGCATATACAAGTAATATATAAAAAGCAAGTACTAGTTTTAGGGTGCTATTTCTTTCCTACCTGATTTTGGTATATTGTCCATTTTGTAATCCCTGCTGTAGTATTCACAAATGTTTTATGCTGTTTTGAGCATCTTTATTATGAAATGCTAGGACTATATACTCATGCTTGTGAGCAACAACGCTTGTGAGCATCTTTATATTGCATCTATTAAACTGGTCTTGTAAATTTCAACTCTTTTATCATACAGCTTTATTAAAGGTGCTAATATTGGATCTGAATCAGCAACATTTATTTGTGAGGAGACCTTATGAACACAGGAACATTGGCCCTGGACTTCTCCAATCCATCAAGTTCAGTCCCCTACTAACATAGGCAACCATGTCATATAAAATTTTTTATACATTTGCCAAGCTGCAACCTGAGAGTAGTTAGAATTGTTACTGTTGCTGCTCTGACTGGAAGCACTGTTCTAGAACAGACAACATGAGACATGCCATTTAACATTTCAGCCAGTGCCTAAAGGTCACATCCTGAGAACAGAGCAAAGCTCACATAAAAGAACATGACTGAGAAATGGAATTCTCATCTCTAATGGCCCAAGGTGGTCATTACAAGTCATTATGAAGCAGAGCTGACAGCTCAATCTCCCATTTATTACACAGGGTTTTAAGTAAGGGCTGTATCAACTTAAGGGATTGTCTAAAATAGACTGTCCCAGCCATAGAGACCAGCTGGAGAGATCTCCTTCCATGGGTCCTACAATCTGCTGCATTACTGATTTAGGGCTTCTTGGCCTTAGATTTCTTTCAAAGTATCAATATGCTAACACAGGTATACCTTACTACCATAAATAGTTCAGTTCAACAATTTTCCATAGAGAACTTGTGCAACATGCTGCTCCTACTAATTTCCATTAAATTACATTACATGTGACCCAACTTCACCTTAAAAAATAAGCTGCAATGCATATTTCTCGAGGGAAAACGTGCAAGATTTTCTGTGATGACAAGAACATACCTCCCTTTATCAACATCATAAATACATCAACATCATGCCTATTCATTGCAACTGCTCTCCTATTGTGTTCTTCAAAGTAGTTTACTTAAGCGCTGATTAATATTCAGATGCTATTATGAACTCATTAACAAAAATCTATGATACAAAAGTAACATTCATTTTTGATGATTTGGATTCTCAACTTTCCTTTGGCACATTGGGCACATCTACACATGGTCATATGGCGCCATTGTTACTGCACCATCATTTAGTACTTCCAAAAGGAAGTACTTTTGGAAGTACTACCTTTTGGAAGTATTAAATAACGGTGCAGTAACAGCCCATACTGCACTGTGCTGGCCCCACGTGATTATTTTTAGCTGCTATGTTGCCATAGCAGTGCGCTATAATGAGGGACCGCATTGCTACAGTGACATAGCTGTGGCATCATGGTTTTTGCCCGTAGCCATACATCACCGTAGCATGCTCCTACAGTAGCATAGCACCACATGTAGATGCGCCCACTTTCAACTAGTAACACTAGAGTAAGTGAGGTAGACTGGAGTATAAAGTTTTGCAAAGGTTAGGATCTGAGGTAGACAAATCGGCTGCAGTTAGAGATTAGTTAAAATATTTATTTGAAAGAAAATGTTGCAAGCTTTTCTACAAGTTCAAATTGTATTTGTAAGGATGGGATTGTGACAGGATCAGTCTCAGGGTGGCTGTGACATCCCCTGATGTCCACATGGTTCCTGCCCCACTCTGACTCCTTAGGTACCCCTCTTTTCCTCTCGCCTGCCATGCCTTGGTGGAATTATTTGTTTTATGAAAAGGGAGGTTGCCCCAGGGTCCCAGAGTGAGCCCTTGCTATTCTGCAGCCAGCAGGTCCCTTCTGGACCCAGACAGTTCCTGTCCTGTCCCCATCTGTGCTCCAGGGCACTGATTGCCTTAAGTGCTATTTGTGGTCTCCTTCTGCCCCTACATCCATGCCCATGGCTTTCAGATGTTACCAGTTATCACTTCAGTGGGGCATCTTGCCACCAGTACAATATCAGGCCTCATTAGGCTTCCACATATTTGTTGGGGCCGTGGGCTTCCTGACTTCCAGCCCTTTTCCTCTAGCTGGGCCCCTTAGCCTAGGCCCACTGCCCCAGACCTCAGTTTATGGGCTCCAGCCCCTGTCTCTTAAGCTATAGGCCCCTGGCTCTGGTTATCGCCCCTCTTGGGCTCTGGCCCTAGACCTCCTGGCTTCAGGCCATCCCTATTGACTTTCCTGACTTAGGCTTTGATCCTCCCGGGGTCTGTCTGTGTTTTGAGCCCTGACCCCTGGCATGGCTCAAAACTTCATGTGCCCCTCAGGCACCTCTGTGGCTTGTGCCTCTGCCCCTAGCAAGACTCAATAGTGTGTCACTTAGGCATCCCTGTGGCTCCTCATCAACCCTTAAAGCCACACCTGGTCCGCCAGTATTGAACAAATATTTCCAGACTCTTTTTATTATAATATCCCAGGATGGTCTCATCTTCAATGAAGAAGTCTGTGAGTTTTTCATATTTGCAAGACTTATAGTTTTAGGTCTGTGACAAATTCTTACAGTATTTTCTTTTCCTGTTGTGTTCTCATCCTGAATATCTATCTCCCATAAGTAACATTTTCTAGAACACAATGATCAAACATTTTCATTATTTCTGCAAAGTTTTCTTCTTTCCTCCCTTTCCCCCTGTATGTTTGGCATTATTCATATCCAGCACATCATTGCCTGCAACTGTTAAAAGCAGAGCAATCTTTTGCTCTTCCTCTAATTTGTCTGATCCTGTGGCTTTCCTATACAGCTCAAATTGTTGTGTAAACTGTTTTCAGGCATTTTTAGCATTCTTCTTGATTCTCAAGGGGTTTGGAGAGGTTACTTGCAATCTCACTGGTTCTATAGCTGCTCTATAACTCTTTCAATGGGTCTTCTAACACTCTGTGCCTTCCACTTCTGGTACCATGTAGTAAGGTTTGAAATGTAGACACAACCCTTTATTATTTACAGAAACTTGTATACAGTTATTTACAGTACAAACATAATAATTTGCTGTGCCTTTGTGACTGGCCTGTTCCTGTTCTACCACCCAA